TTTTTTTTCTGAATTCTTTATATCTCCCAGTTGACCCGCTGAGATTGTACGGACGGCCTTTGCCTTCCTCTTCCTCGAATTTCTGTAAAACCTACTGTGTTCTAAAATTATGTCTGGAATTCGTATGAGTAAATATAAGCATGTATTTGGTAAGCCACTTAAGCGCGAAGAGTGTTATGATTCCATGCGGATCACCAAAAGCTCATGGGATTCCTGTTTTTGCTCTGTAAATCCAAAATTCTTCGCAGTTGTTACTGAGGCGGCCGGAGGGGGTGCGTTTTTAGTCATCCCACTTGAAAATGTAGATTTTTCCTCACTTGATTTAGCTATATAGACAGGTCGAGTACCTGCGAATGCCCCATTGGTTTCTGGTCATACGGCAGCAGTGCTAGACATTCAATGGTGTCCTCACAACGACAACTTAATAGCAAGCGCATCTGAAGATTGCACTGCAAAAGTTTGGGATATTCCTGAAAATGGTCTTACCGAAAACTTATCTGAGCCTGTTGCTAATTTGGTCGGACATCAACGGCGCGTCGGTCTTGTAGTCTGGCACCCAACAGCTGAGCATGTTCTTCTCACATCTGGTAGGCCAAACTCAGCCATCTAGACAATTTTGACAGAATTAATGATTTCTGAACTCATATACAACTTAAATCGTCATGATAGGTTTTTTTCTCAAAGCCTTGATTTTGACCCTTTTTTTAACTTGCAAAGACTAATGACCGTCGATTTGAAAAATTTTTTATATATGCGAAATATTTCCCCAACGTATCTTATTTATACTTCTATTATGACTTTTCACTTTCTTGTCTTTCTATCACTTCATTGTCATTTTTGGTTTTGCTGAATATTTGTCTTGGCTAAAATACTTTCTCTTTACTAATTGCTTAAGATTGCTTGCAGTGTTTTCGTATTTTTCATTTTAATACTATGAATTTCTGCTTAAATCGATTTCATATCGTTTCCATGCCTCATCGTTATAGCTCATAGCTGTATACTTCATAATTTATTTTCATATGTTAAACTTAGTCCTGTATCTTTACAATATACATAGCATAATCGAGCTCATTATTATTTTAGTGCTTACCTATGAGCACTCTCTTAAACATTTACTGATATTCCTGCAAAGCGAGCTAGGCCTCCTAATTCACATTTCTACGGAGTTGCTCTCGACATTAACTTTAGGCAAACTTTTTTTGCCATTACAGTTGATAAAATCATTTGTTTACTTTATAAGAACGTTTAGAGACCATCGGTAGGCCACTGTTCACATTAGATAAGAAAGTATATTTAGAGCCAAAGCATTATGAAATGCGATAGCGTAACGAAGTCTATCCATTTAATTGTTGAAAATTAAAGTGCGAATTCTAACTAATCGTATGCGACCCTCGTTAAGTGATATTCCTTCTTTTTTATCATGCCTTTCTCATCCTGCTTAATTAGGATACCCAGTGAATAAAAAAATAATTCAAACTTTTTTCAGGATTATTTAAACTGAATTCTTTATGATTTACGAGTTTGCAAATTTAGCCCTCAAACAAAGCCATGCCATCAATTTTATGTTTTGCTTCGTGTTTCCTCTAATTGCTATGGTATCTATTTTATTAAAAATCATCGTTTTATCATTTCTGTCCGGGCACATCTATGATTACGAACTCAACGATTTAGTT